ACTGGAATCCATCTTAAATCTGGTACTTTTCCATTTAGAAGGAGGAATAGGGACCCAGAGAGACAAAAGATTCCCGCCTTGTGCCAAAGCTATAAAAAGGGGTGGAGCAGGACAGACGTGGCTGCCAGTCATGAGAAAGCCCCTGTTTTTTACCTAAGATATCTGCTGGAACTAATAAGGAGTGTACCGGGGAAAGGATTGGGCCCAGACTAGGAAGGAGTTTAGTCTGTGAAAGAAGCTTATTGTAACATCTCTGAGGGTGAGATTTTACCTGTAATCAAGTATCAGGGGGTAGCCGTGTTAGTCTGTATCTACAAAAACATTATCAATCTTTCCAACCACACACTTAGCCCAGCAGAAGAGTCTGTCCTATCTCGGGGACTCTCTTTCTGTCCCACCATCCCCACGAACACGATACAGTTCTGCAGTGATCTGGAAGCCTACTTTCGTCGTCTCCGACTCAAGGAATATTTTCAACGCACCACTGAACAGTGCACTGACCCACAGGAACCCTCCTACCAACACTACAAGAAGAAGAACTCTGCATGGACTCCTCCTGACGGTCGAAATGACAGACTGGACCTCTACATAGAGTGCTTCCGCAGATGTACACAGGCTGAAATTGTGGACAAACAACATCACTTGCCCCATAACCTCAGCCGTACAGAACGCAATGCCATCCACAGCCTCAGAAACAACTCTGACATTATCATCAAAGGGGCTGACAAAGGAGGTGCTGTAGTCATAATGAACAGGTCGGATTATGAACAGGAGGCTGCCAGGCAACTCTCCAAGACCACATTCTACAGGCCACTATCCTCTGATCCCACTGAGGAATACCAAAAGAAACTACACTATCTGCTCAAGAAATTCTCGGCTACAGTACGGGAACAAATCTACATGGACACACCCCCAGAACCCTGACCAGGGGTATTCTATCTGCTACCCAAGATCCATAAACCCAGAAACCCTGGACGCCCCATCATCTCAGGCATTGGCACTCTTACAGCAGGATTATCTGGCTATTTGGACTCTCTCCTCAGACCCTACGCTACCAGCACTCCCAGCTATCTTTGAGACACCACCGACTTCCTGAGGAAACTACAATGCATTGGTGTTCTTCCTGAAAACACCATCCTGGCCACCATGGATGTAGAAGCACTTTACACCAATATTCCACATGAGGATGGACTACAAGCTGTCAGGAACAGTATCCCTGATGAGGCCACAGCACGCCTGGTGGCTGAGCTTTGTGACTTTGTCCTCACCCACAACCACTTCAGATTTGGGGACAACTTATACCTTCAAGTCAGTGGCACTGCTATGGGTACCTGCATGGCCCCACAGTATGCCAACATTTTTATGGCTGACTGAGAACAATGCTTCCTCAGCTCTCGTCCCCTAGTACCCCTCCTCTACTTGCGCTACATTGATGACATCTTCATCATATGGACCCACGGAAAGGAGGCCCTTGAAGAATTCCACCTGGACTTCAACAATTTCCACCCCACCATCAACCTCAGCCTGGACCAGTCCACACAAGAGATCCACTTCCTGGACACTGCAGTGCAAATAAGTGATGGTCACATAAACACCACCCTATACCGGAAACCTACTGACCTCTATACGTACCTACATGCCTCCAGATTCCATCCAAAACACATCACACGATCCATTGTCTACAGCCAAGCCCTAAGATACAACCGAATTTGCTCCAATCCCTCAGACAGAGACAAACACCTACAAGATCTTTATCAAGCATTCGTAAAACTACAATACTCACCTGGAGAAGTGAGGAAACAGACTGACAGAGCAAGACGGGTACCCAGAAATCACCTACTACAGGACAGGCCCAACAAGGACAATAACAGAACACCACTGGCCATCACATACAGCCCCCAGCTAAAACCCCTCCAGCGCATTATCCACGATCTACAACCTATCCTGGAAAATGATCCCTCACTGTCACAGACCTTGGGAGGCAGGCCAGTCCTCGCTTACAAACAACCCCCCAACCTGAAGCAAATACTCACCAGCAACAACACACCACACCACAGAAACACCAACCCAGGAACCAATCCCTGTAGCAAACCTCGTTGCCTACTCTGTCCCCATATCTACTCTGGTGACACCATCAGAAGACCCAACCACATCAGCCACACCATCAAGGGCTCATTCATCTGCACATCTACTAATGTTATATATGCCATCATGTGCCAGCAATGCCCCTCTGCCATGTACATTGGCCAAACCGGACAGTCCCTCCGCAAAAGAATAAATGGACACAAATCGGACATCAGGAATGGTAACATACAAAAGCCAGTAAGTGTACACTTCAATCTCCCTGGTCATTCTATTACAGATTTAAAAGTCACTATCATTAAACAAAAAAATGTCAGAAACAGACTTCAAAGAGAAACAGCAGAACTAAAATTCATTTGCAAATTTAACACCATTAATCTGGGCTTGAATAGGGACTGGGAGTGGCTGGCTCATTACAGAAGCAGCTTTTCCTCTCCTGGAATTGACACCTCCTCATCTGTTATTGGGAGTGGACTACATCCACCCTGATTGAATTGGCCCTGTCAACACTGGTTCTCCACTTGCGAAGTAACTCCCTTCTCTCCATGTGTCAGTATATAATGTCTGCATCTGTAACTTTCACTCTATGCATCTGAAGAAGTGAGGTTTTTACCCACGAAAGCTTAAGCCCAAATAAATCTGTTAGTCTTTAAGGTGCCACCAGACTCCTTGTTGTACTTGTAATCAGTTTCTTAATGTATTAGGCTTAGATTTGCGTGTTTTTGATTTATTTTTCTGGGAGACTTACTTTGTTCTGTCTAGTATCAGAGGGGTAGCCGTGTTAGTCTGGATCTGTAAAAAGCAGCAGAGGGTCCTGTGGCATCTTTAAGACTAACAGATGTATTGGAGCATAAGCTTTTGTGGGTGAATGCCCACTTCGTCGGATGCATGCACGAAAGCTGATGCTCCAATACATCTATTAGTCTTAAAGGTGCCACAGGACTCTCTGTTGCTTTGTTCTGTCTGTTATTACTTGAAACCACTTAAATCCTACTTTTTATACTTAATAAAATAACTTTTGTTTATTAATGAACCCAGAGTAAGTGATTAATACCTTGGGGAGCAAACAGCTGTGCATATCTCTCTAACAGTGTTATAGGCCTGGTCTACACTAACCCCCCAATTCGAACTAAGATACGCAACTTCAGCTACGTGAATAACGACGTACCTTAGTTCGAGCAGGCAGGCTCCCCCGTTGACTCCGCGTACTCCTCTCGCCGAGCAGGATTACCGGAGTCGACGGCGAGCACTTCTGGGTTCGATTTATCGCGTCCAGACAAGACGCGATAAATCGAACCCAGAAGTTCGATTGCCTGCCGCCGAAGCAGCGCGTAAGTATAGACATACCCATAGAGGGCGGACAATTTATGAGTTTACCCTGTATAGGCTTTATACAGAGTAAAATGGATTTATTTGGGGTTTGGATCCCATTGGGAACTGGGTGTCTGGGTGCTGGAGATAGGTGACCTGCGGAGCAGTTTTTGGTTGAAGTCTGCAGCTTTTGGGGCATGGACCAGACCTTGGTCTGTGTTGAAGCAGGCTAGCGTTTCTGGCTCAACAAGGCAAGGTTCTGGAGTCCCAAGCTGGCAGGGAAAATGGGCTCAGAGGTAATTTCAGAACATCAGGTGACAGTCCCAAGGGGGTCTCTGGGACTAAACCCGTCATACACATCATTGGTGACTTTTAAGAATAAGTTAGACAAACATCTATTAGGGATGGATTAGGTATACTTAAACCTGTCTTCATGTTGGGGGATGGACTAGCTGGCTTCGTGAGGTTCCTTCCGGTCCTCCATTTCTATTTATTCCAAGATTTTATAAGCTATTCATGCCTGCTGATTTTTAAAAAAGTTTATTCCTAGCAGATACTGTTTAACATCCTCCTTAGTTACCAATAGACTGCAGAGTGGTTCACCCTCTTCACATAGTATGAATACACATGTTGCTTCTATCCAAAACCAGAAATGTTTATTGAACACTTCTGCCTTATTTGCATCATTATAAACTATTTTACCATCTCCATTTCTAATGGACCTACACCTTTGTTAGGAGTTGTTTGTTTGTTTGTTTGTCTTTGCTCCTAATATACTTAAAACAATTGTCATTATTGTTCCTAGGCCTGCCAACTATGAAGTTTTCCCTGATAGCTTTAGCTTCCATTATCGATTTTCTACATATCATAACTTCCAATGTATATCGATTGCTATTGAATTCCCCTCTTTCCATTTGTTGTACATTGGTGCTTTTTTTAATTTCTAATTGCTGCCTGCACTGCCCCACTGCACCAGGACGGGCTTTTGGCCAAAGTTCTAAGGCAGTGGAACACCTAATTCCCTAAGGCTCCTTTGTAATTTTCATACTTCATTGGCTTTCTAGGACACCTTGAGCTCCAGCTGGTTGGAGGGGACAATGCCTGCTCAGGACGTGTGGAAGTAAGACATGGAGATACCTGGGCTACAATCTGTGATGCACACTTTGATCTCAAAGCTGCCAGTGTTATCTGTAATGGACTACAGTGTGGAACAGCTCTATCCATCCCAGGAGGAGCTCGTTTCAGAGAAGGACATGGACCAATCTGGACTGAGGAATTCCGGTGTGTAGGGAATGAGTCACAACTCGTGTACTGTCCCAGGATATCACATGGGAGTCAGTCATGCTCACATGCAAATGATGCCAGCGCCATATGCTCACGTAAGAATTTGGCACAATGTCTCTAAAATACCAGTGTTGTGTATTCTAGTGCAGCAATAAAACGATCTCACTCTGTAGGGAGCTGGGATAATAGAGCTGCTATCAGCTTCTAGTAAAACCTAAACAATCCAATATAATGGGAATGGGCTCAATCCCCCCAAATTTCTTTTTCTTTATTATTTAATATAAAATATCTTAATGCTCCCTCTCTAAACCCCTTCTCCCCAGGGCTCACAGGGTTCCGGCTGGTGAACGGCAGCTCAGAGTGCTCAGGAAGGGTGGAGATCCAGGTTCTTGATACCTGGGGAACCCTCTGTGACTCACGCTGGGATTTACCAGATGCCAACGTTCTCTGTCGTCAGCTCGACTGTGGATTCGCTGAATCAGTCCCAGGAGGAGGGTATTTTGGAAGGGGAACTGGCTCTGTCTGGACAGACACGTATCACTGTAAAGGGACTGAAACCCATTTGGGCCATTGCCCTGTTACTGCCCTGGGGGCCTCTCAGTGCTCACATGACAATGATGCCAGTGTGATTTGCTCAGGTAAGTGCAGGAGAGATGCTGGATTAAGGACACCTGCCTCTCAGTGCGTGACACTGCTCCCAGAGCAGGGGAACCTCAGGACTCAGCAAGGGGAAGGGAAGCTAGATCCTAAAGCACGTATAATATTAGTAAATGTATTAAAGATAACATTAAAGTAAATAATATCATCACAAAAGAATAGTTGTGACCTGGGAAAGCCCTGGATTCTCCAGTAAAAACATCAGCAACTCTGTCCTTACACAGGGCAGCGGAGCAGGGGCAGCGCTTTGTCCTTCGGGTTACATAAATGTCACCAATTCATTGTTCCCAGGCTTCTCCAATAGTAATTAGAGGGGGAGCTGGTAGTGATTCCCAATATGCAGGGCCGGCTCCAGGCACCAGTGAAGGAAGCAGGTGCCTGGGGTGCCCAATAGAAAGGGGCAGCAGTCAGTCCGTTGTTGGGGTGTCACGTCCAGGTCGTCGTCGTCAGCAGCTCAATCGATCTGCTTCAGTCTTTGGCGGCAATTCGGCAGCGGGTCCTTCAATCCCTGTCTTCCTCTTCGACAGCACTTTGGCGGCAGATCAATAGTTTTGGGGTGTTTGTTTGTTTTTTTCTGCCGCTTGGGGTGGCAAAAAAGCTGGAGCCGGCCCTGCCAATATGGAGATTGCTTCACACTTTCTATTATAAAATATTCTCTGCACCTTCTTGAGAAGCTCTCACACCTTCCTTGATTGCTGCAGCCTTTGCAGTTTGGGAAGGGGTCAGTGCTGGGGTCAGGGAGGTGCCTTCTCCTAGTGCAGTGAGATTCCTCCCAGGTTTGACTGAATTATAAACTGCTGAAAATCACCATTTCCCTTCTCTCACGTGAGTTCCTGAGGGTATTTTTGGTAGCACACCACAGAGAAAGTAGTGCTTTCACTCACTTAGTTTTCTCTACTTTATTCAAATCTTTCCAATTGAAAAAACTCAAAAGATTTTTTCCCCTGCTTTCTTATACTTTTTAACTTTTTTTCTAACTTTTTACAGTGGAAGAAAAGATGAAAAAATAGAAAGGGGGAGGATGTGGCAAACCTGTAAATCCAAAAACTGGAAAGGAAAATTTAATGTTTCATTTTCCAAAAGTTGAAATGAATCAACAATTTAGTTAGAGTATAAAGAAAAATTTCCATTCCATTTCCATATGCCAGTATCTCAAATGTGTTTAAAAATTTAAATACTTCATTCAAAATACTTCACAGGAAAAATTTTGGGTTTTTGACCTGCTCTAATATTTTCATTCTATAAAAAAAAAAAATCAAACAGCGTTATTTAGTGTATTTAGTCAAAACCAAAGGTACAAGAATTAGAAAATACCAGAGTTTAGGTTACCTATGTAATGTTAATTCAGCCCCCCACCCTCTCTTGTGTATATACATTATGATACAGTCCAATTGTATACACACATCCTATTATTCTCACCTACCCCCAGCTCCAGCCTCCTCCAGTGCACTGGGAGGATGGTGCTCAGGGTATGGGGGAGCTGTTGAATATTTAGTTTTATCTTCATCATTCAACCTGTGATCCAGGGCCTTATTCACTATATGTACCATACAAACACTGCACTGAATACAGAATTATTAATTTCTTCATGGGATTTTCTAGGGTGCTTGTCACTATAGTATGAGAATGCACCACAAACATTAATGAATTTGTCTTCATAACACCCTGGGAGATAGCAGACTGTTATGATGCTCATTTCAAAAGTGACTTAGGCACTTAGAAGCCCAAGAATAACATTTTCAAAAGTGCCTAAGTGACTTAGAGACTTAAATCCCATTTTCTCCAGTAACGTAGGAGCCCAAGAACCATGCAGACTTCTCCCTCTTGCTGCCTAAGTCACTTCTGAAAATGGCACTTAGGATCCTACATCATTTAGCTGCTTTTGAAAATTTTACATATAATGATTAAACCTAAAATTCCAAACTTGGGGTGATTGGGCAGCAACCTGAGACCCTCAGTGCCTGATTCTTCAGAATACTCACCATTTCTGCAGAGCTTTATGTGTTCAAAGTACTGTCCAGACATTAATAAACCCTCACCAAACTCCAGGGAAGCAGGTGGGTAAGAAGTATTATTAGCTCCATTTTACAAATGGTGAAACTGAGAGAGAAAAGCAAAGTGACTTGCCCAAGGCCACCTAGTGAGTCAGCAGCGGAGACAGGATAAACCAAAGTGTTTTGCCTCAGAGCCCTGTGCTCGTTCCACCCG